TGCCGTGAATAACACGTATGCAAGGCTCGTTTAAGTGTTTAAGATGGAGCGACGAAAATAAATGTCCTGCAACCAACTCGATGCGAACGATAAACTGGACGACATAAGAAGAATGCAAATTTCACTCGCCCCAAGCACTTCTACGACTCCGATAAGTCTACATGATAGTGCATCTGCCACATAAGCACTTTGACATTGCCTTCGCTTCAAGCTCCTCGTCCACTGCCTGTTGCACGTTCTACACAATAGTTGGAAAAGCGTAAGGTACAAAGTGTTCCGTGAGATAGAATGAAGGAAACAACATAAACTCACCGCGTCTTCCTTGTGCTCTGTCACATTCTCAGTTGTTTCTGCTGCAGGCTGAGTGCTTGCAACTTCTTCAGCTGGACTCGATTCGACCGGGGCATCCGTCGAGTCCACAGCAGGTGTCTCGGTTTGCTCATTCACTTGGATTTCAATGTTGGCTTGGTCCACGGTTTCCCCCTTGGCTTCCTGTGCCAAGACTTCTGTCGGCTCAGGAATCACCTCTTCGTCTTCGTCTTCTTCTTTTTCTTTTTCTTCCGCCTTTTCTTCCGGTATGCTGGTAATTTCCACATTAGAAATCTCTGGTTCAGCCTCGACTGGAGGAGTATCTTGGTTCTGCATTGCGGTCGAATGCGTCTCCGCTTCGGTCTTTTCGATCGTTGCCGCCAAATCTGACAGCACTTGGTAGATGATTGCCATAGTCTGGATGATTGCCACTGTCTTGACGGCAGCCAAAGTGTTTATTTCTTGCGTCCAAGGATGGTGGACAGGTAGGATTTCAGCGGTAGTTAATTCCTGCTCAATAGCGGGGCTGTCTTCAGACTCGGTCTCTTCTTCTTCATTGCTAGCATCGCTTCCAGTCTCCTGATTCACATCGTCGTCGTCAGCTGGATTGTCGATATCTTCCTTGTGCTCCGAGTCCTGGTTGCATACCTCAAACGGTGCTTGAACTCTGGCCTTGCCCTCAGTATATTCATCGGCTTCTGCAGGCTCCTCTTCGAGCTTCGCCTCCTTCGATGCCGCAGAAGCAGGTTCTGAAGCTCTCAATGTGGTCTCTTTATCTTGGACTGCATCTGTCTCTGAAGAGCTCCTAGATGACATCAAGGCCTTGGCGTCCATCCCTGCTTGTTCAATCTTGGACATCGCCATTTCCACCTGCAAAGGCAACAATAAATAGTTAGATATCCTGCATCTGTGTAGATACACTTGAATCAAAATCGCACCTCTTGGTTGGAAAACGTGGCATTCTCGTTTCTCGAGACGGGCTTAAAGAGATGACCAGCACGTTCCTCCGAAAACATCATGAAATGCTGTAAGCAGAACAGCACCTGTACCATGTTCGTGCCCTCATACAGATCGTCCGTGCAAAACAGCGACAAGTCGTTCATTCCGATTCTGTGAAGGCGCACCGTTAGCATTTAGCTGATGCAATGAAGGTGAAGCCATAGTTCTGCAACGTACGACTTGCACTGCCGCAGGAAGATGGAAATGTTCTCGCGCTCCTTCCAAGGTGCCATTCGCATTGAGTATTGGCGGCTAATGGGCGACATACAGCTAGAAGCAGCAGGGAAGAGCGTCTCCATCTATTCAAAACACACGATGGAAGGGTTAGCTTCAGAGCTAATAGTTATCCCCCCTGATTGCCGTACCATTTCTCGAAGCACCACACCAGACTTGAGTGCCTCAAACAGATCTGTAGTGGGAAGCTCACGCTGCAGCACGTTTTCAATCCATGCCATCACCTCCTAGATCCAGAGCAAAATAGTTTGTTAGTATACGGGCATTACACTAGCGTACGGCGACTCGTACGCGCTGACGGCGGAGATACTCGATAGCCATCGCTTTGTCGCTCGCCCACTTTGCCGACAGCGATAGATTGCGCTGGTGTTTGCCACCCATGGGTGACTGGCGCATTTCGCTACCTTCGTCGTGGTGTGGCACCAGAATATTCACGTCCATGTCGATGGCCTATGGGAGCTTGGTGTCTGTGTTCAATCGAAGCTGTAGGTGCCGGCGATTTTAAGCTCGTTTTTTTCGCGTCTTGTCTCCAAAGAAAGTGTGACCTCCTATAATCTCAACCGCTGCTTATCCAGCATCCACAACCAACGGAAGGCGCTTTCTCTCAACAGCACTATCTCCCACGACGATGATCGCTCGATCCCATTGCTCGCCACAATCCCAACGATGAAAATACACATTCTCACACGTCACATATTGTAGTTGGCTACAGCCACCAACGCGTCATCAGAAGCTCAACTTTCACATTCTGTAGCCCCGAATCGCACTTATCCGAGTAATCGGTCCACCACCAATAGTACTTCACTCGAGTATTGGCACGATGATTCGCGTGGTGGCGGGGACGTATGAAGGCTTGCTGTACGGTTGGGAGTGCCCCACTGTGGCTGCGGGCGAGCGCGCCAAAATGAAGCTCACCTTCGGATATGCAGCACACTCGGAGTGCATTAAGAGTGTGGCTCTTATGGCCGCCAAGCAGGGAAAGACACTTCTGTCCGGTGGCAGTGACGAGATGATCAAGTGCGTTCGTTGGTCTTAGCTTGATGGTAGTATGGTCTGCATCGAGCGAACGACATGCTAATATGCTGCTGTGTTATTGCACACAGAATTTACAATGTGGACAAGCGCGTGGAGGTCGGCAGCCTCATGGAACAGCACGGAGCTATCACTAGCCTCGAGTTCTTCGGTCAGAGCCACGTGCTCAGCGGCAGCGCCGACAATTCCATCTGCATTTGGCGTACGTCAGACTGGAATTGTCTGCATATTCTCGGTGGTCACAAGTGAGTATTTGACTGCATTTACAAATTAGTTAAGCATGTGCTAATCTTGTTGATTGATCATAGGGGAGAGATCAACTCGATTGCGGTGCACCCTAGTGGAAAGCTGTGCTTCTCAGTGGCACGCGACCGCACACTGCGCATGTGGAACCTCGTAAAGGGTCGTATTGCCTTCATTCGCCGGCTAGAAAAGGAGGCAGAACTAGTCATGATCTCGCAGAAGGGCACGCACTACGCTCTCGGCTTTGGCAAGGACTTGTCAGTGTTCAACATGAACGCAGAGGTGCGTCAGTAGCGGACTGTTTACGGCAATGCTGCTTATAAGAACGATATCTAAGCTCTTTTTTATTATTATTTTGTTGATTAGCTGGTGGGTACATTGGAGCACTCAAAGAAGATTCACTGCGCTGCATTCGCCACGGATGAGTACGTCGTCTGCGGTGGTGACGACAAGCATATTTATATCTGGAAGACCAACGGAACGTACGTACTGCGTCTGCTATAGCTGTGGATACGCTCGTTAACAACCTGGTTGTGTCTTTGTTCAGGCTGGTTGGAAAGATGACACACAAAGATATTGACGCCCGCATCCGATGCCTACAAGTTGTGTATCCGCATGGTGAAGACAAGCTGCCGTGGATTGTGTTGGCTACTTCTGACGGCGCGTTCCAGATCTGGGATTTCGCCTCTTTCACTATGGATGAGTCGTCCCCCGAGGAGGCCAACAAGTCGGTGGAGCCGATTGCCTCGACTGTACTTCTTACCAAACCTCGTGTCACCTGCCTGTCCGTGTGCGTTGCGAATGAAAAGGTCGCTGTGGGAGCTACCGAAAGCGAGGATGCGACTACGAAGACAAAGAAGACCAAGAAGAACAAGAAGGTTACGGACAAGAAACCCGCTGCTCCTGCTGCTGGTGTCCCGCACGTGGTTGTCGAGCTGGACGATGGCGACAACAAGGCTGCAGATGAAGATGAATCGTCCAAAAAGCGCAAATCGACTGATGAAACGCAGCGTAAAAACAAGAACAAGAAGAGAAAGCAAAAAAAGTCGAAGCAGTAGAGCTCGTGCGTGAGCTGGAGAAAAGTAATAGAGAACATTGCAACACGTTACTTGTATCTCTTTGGCGTTGCTTCTTTGATTCTGATAGATAAACTGATCTTGTATTCAGCTAGTGTACACACTAGTAGCAGTAATAATCATCTTGCCCGTCGTGATAGCAACAGAGTGGAGATCCGTCTGCGCGTGGTGGAGTTTTGAGGGAATTACAAGCTCCAGCAGAGAGTTGAAGTCGTGGACTTGTTGCGGCGAATAGTTTATCGTCTGCATCTTCACTGCTTCTTCACCTAGAGATCAAAAGATCAAATTACAGGCTGGTTTCGGTGACCTCGATGTGAAAAGGACGAGTCAAACCGTAAAGAGAAGAATAACAAGCGAGCGCATTGTCAAAGTTCAGTACACCATTTCAGCCTTCGGTGGCGGCGTGGAGAACAGCGCAAAGCTTGGCGCTGTGGATTTTGAAAGAAGAAAAAAAAACTTCAAATACTTGTCATAAATGTTGAAGCGATGATTAAAACAACAATTTCGTCCAATGATGAAGCGTGGTTCAACGAGTGGCCATCACACGTTTCCCCGAAACGCGCTCGTGCGTTGATTGGTTAGAAAACGTTTTAACAGTTATGAAGCGCTCTTGTCCCCATTCGCCTTCCGCCCAGCAGCCCAAGCAGCAGCGCAGTATCATCAGCACTATGGCCTCTGAGAACTTGACGCACTCCATCGTGGGACTCGGCAACCCGTTGCTCGACATCTTGGCGAATGTGACCCCCGAGTTCCTGACTAAGCACGGTCTTAAGCTGGACAACGCTATTCTGGCGGACGAGAGCCACGTTCCTATGTTCGAAGAGTTACAGACGCTTAAGCCCGAGTTCGTGGCCGGTGGCGCCACACAGAACTCCATCCGTGTGGCTCAGTGGATGCTCAACAAGCACAACAAGACGGCCACGTCTTTCTTCGGCTCTGTGGGCAAGGACGCTCATGGCGCCAAGCTCAAGGAATGCGCCCAGGCCGATGGCGTTAATGTCTCGTACCTCGAGAGCGCCGACATCAAGACTGGCACATGCGCCGTGTGCGTCCACGAGTCGGAGCGCTCGCTGGTTGCTGATTTGTCGGCTGCTAACCACTTCCACCACGATCACTTGGCCAAGCCTGAGAGCCAGGAGATCATCACCAAGGGCCAGTACTTCTACTCGGCTGGTTTCCACCTCACGGTCTCCCCCACGGCTGTCATGACGCTGGCCAAGCACGCGAAGGAGAACAACAAGACGTTCCTCATCAACCTGTCGGCTCCTTTCATCGTCGAGTTCTTCAAGGACCCCCTTATGGCTGCCATCCCTTACGCCGACTTTGTCTTCGGTAACGAGAGCGAGGCGAAGACGCTCGGCAAGGTGCAGGGCTGGGGCGAGGGTATCAAGGAGATCGCCCTCAAGACTGCGCAGCTCGAGAAAGCCAGCGGCTCTCGTTGCCGCACTGTGGTCTTCACCCAGGGCGCTGACCCTACCGTCGTTGTGCACCAGGGCAAGGTCTACACGTTCGATGTGCCCAAGATGGCCGCCTCGTCCATCGTCGACACGAACGGCGCCGGTGACGCTTTCGTTGGTGGCTTTATCTCTCGTCTGGCTCTGGGTCTGCCCCTTGAGCAGTGCGTGAACGCCGGCCACTGGGCCGCCCAGGTCGTGCTCACCCGCTCGGGCTGCACGTTCCCGGAGAACTGCGAGTTCCAGGACTAAAGCAAGCTTTTTCAGCGCGTCACAGACCGATTCCTCATTACCGGATCTTTAGTGACGCTGCTAGAAAAATGACAAGTAGATTAAGAGCCCCGTTGTCGACTGGACGTTCGTGGCGGTGCGTCTGCCACTCGCAACTTTCGTAGGCGAAGTGCCGATCCCTCACACTCGACGCTTTCCCTCGAAGGAAGAACCACCTCCACAAATAGACAGCTATATCGGCGCTCTTGCGCTCTATTTTGCCTCTCACTTCCAACTTAGATTGTTATTCATGCAAGTGTACGTTGATCTGGATGTGACTGAAAATAGGGTGGTGCTGGGCTGCAATGCGTTGACACTTGGGCATTCCTAGCAGTTCCAGTACGTGTCAAGACATGTGCGCGTCTAAAACGTACGGATACCAAGGTTTCAAGTCGTTCGCGGTGCAGCAGTGCCCGACGCTCAAGCCGGGCGAGACGTATGAGCAGCGTGCCACCAAGTTCTCGTCGATGGGCTCGCGTATTATTGCTCCGCCGACGATGAATCGTATGGGAAGACACGCGCTGGAGTCTGTGGCCATGCAAACTGGACAACTAGTGCAGCCAGAGCACTACCGAGTGCCTGATCGTCGCGGTGTGAGTGTGAACCAGAAGCAGCCAGATTCCAAGCTATTCATCGCAAACACCACGTATTTGCACGACTTTCCTCCGTTTGGTGAGGACTGCAGACGTGTTCTTCAAGTGCCTTTAGAAGAGTACGAAAAGGCTTTCATGGCCGTCGCGAACATCAACCAGCAAGATAGAGCGACGATCCACTTGAATCAGGTGTCGGAGGTGCTCAAACTCGCGCTTGGAGACACTGCGAGTCCTCGTGTCATTGACGTTTTCCACACTTACATAGATCGTCGTGGAAGTGCTCGTGATCGGATCTCGTGGGCTTTATTCAGTCAAGCGGTAGACCATGTGAATAGTCTGTTTGATCATGAGTTATACCACAGCAAGACGACACCTTCGAGTATCAAGACATGGGGCACCATGACCTTCGCTGAGAAGCAGTTTAACGAGTACCTTGTGCACTCTTCCACACCCGCAAGCAGCCACCAGAAAGACTTTGGCAGCTATGGAGACAATCCTCTAGATCGACCGTACATGCGAAAGCGAGGCATGGCCTCAACCACCGCCGACTTAAACCCGGCAGCCACTCGAGTTACTAATCAGATTCCAGGCTATGGAGGCTTCTTACCACTTAGATCACACAGCGCAGACGCACAAGCAAACGACGAAGAGCTACTGCCAACGCCACGGATTGCACTTCGACTTTACCACACTGACAATATTCCAGGGTATACGGGACACAAACCGGTTGACTGCGTTAACTACCGAGGAGAATGCCGTTCTGGAAGTAATCCAGGCACAACGACAGGAGAAAGCTACAGCAATGGAAACTAAGATATGGGCTTTCAATGAAGCTAAGCTATTACTTCGAGTAGAATTCAAGGCAGTGCTCTTACAATAAAATAAAAAATTGTACTGGGCTTCACAGAAGCACATAATAATCATTGCAATATACCGATCCACAATAATAAATTATTCAATTATTTTGCTGTATTG